CTACCAAAAAAGAGCATGGACACATGACTATGCCTAAAAGGAATTCCAACCCTTGAGATAACATACATGTAAACACACACCTATGGGAACTTCTTTGCATGTAAACAGTCCATCTATTTTCCACTTCACAGTCTGAGTGACATTTCTTCTCTCACACACCTCCTCCTCCATTCAAGTTCACATGTCCACAGTAGATCGACTACATCTCAAGACGGTTTAAGACAACACGGTGTTTTCAGGTCAAGATCTCCACCCACAATGAGATGCTAAAATAGGAAGTTGTCTCATGTCACAATACAAAGCTCCACTGTGATCTCTGCTTTGGTCTATGGCCACGTAATACTGTAACACAGGCTAGCTTGAGGAAGGAGCCGGAGACAGAAGCTGCCTTTTTCTCTTTTATTTTCCCTCACACACTGCACAGGACAACCACACCACAGACAGGCCCAACACAGAACACACCCAACCAAAATCCACAACTATATACAGCCCGCCCAGAGGGGGATCCCTCCATGTGCTCTCCGCCCCCAGCACTAAAATACTGTAGTGTCTTGGTGTAGTAAAACTCACAGTTTACTTGCTCTCATGCACTTTTTCTTTTCAGTTTCATTTGTCAAACATCTAAACAAGCAAAACAACACTGGTTTACCTGAAGCTGAAATGTCCAGCGTTAACCCGTTTGTTCCTGAGCTTGAGCTGTTGATCAAATCATTATTTTATGATCATGGTGTTGTGTGACAAAATAAACAGATTAATGGTGATGACACTTGCCTATGTGGAGCAGGTTTTTCAGTGTCTGGTTCTAGTTTCAGGGTCACTGGACTGATTTCACTTCACTTTGATCACTGCTGCAGATGATTTTGAAGCTACTAAATGCAAACAATAGCTAACAAAAAGATACTCAAATACAAACAATAATGATGACAGTAACTTACATGCAGTGACGTGCAGTCAGGGGAGGCAGGTGAGGCAGAGCCTCCCCTGTCAATCTTGAAAAGAAAAAAAAAGTTAACCATAAAATATAATAAATGTT